GTGTGCCTTGTTATCCTCAGGCCAAAAGTTCAGATAAACACTATTGTAAATGACAAAATATTAGAACTTTTTGTTACTTGGGTTATGATCCTTCTGCTGAACACCAATAGGATTGTTTTCCCTTGTATAAGTCCCTGCCCTAATATTGTATAACACTGCCTTACTAGAATTCTAGATTCATTTGCAGGTCAGAAGGAGGAAAATTAGCTCTCAAAAATCAAAAACAAATACCTATGGAGTACTATGTGTTACTAATACTAAACATTAAATGCTGGAGCTAAGAAAAATAAAATTAATAAACATACCTGCCCTAAAAGAGCTTACACTCTATTGAGGAAAAAAGACTACCTTTAGAATCAAAAACACTGACTCAAATATGCATTGAAGGGAGTTCACTGATCTCAACCTGCAACATCAGGAAAATTTGCTAGAGGACACTAATAAAAAATAAATAAGAACTAGTAAAATAAAAAGAAATGGGAATAGTAATTCAAATAGGACTACCACAAACAAATGATGAGAGACATAAAATAACATGGTATACTAAAAAGAACGAAGCATTTCTGTATATAAAAGCAAGGGGATAGGCAGCAGAATCTATGGAATGATTTTCTGTTTCTATGTACAATATTTTCTTCTATAGTTCTTTTTTTTACTCTATACATGACCAATTAGAGAATTTTAAGCAGATAACATTCATATTAGATTTATATGCTAAATTATTATGACTACAGTGAAAACTGAGTGAAAGGTTCAAGGCTTAAAGTAGATCAGTTAAGGGAGATTTTTCAATAATTTACATGGAAATCTCAACTAGGAAAATAGTTTTAGGAAAGAAGTTTTAGGAATGAAGAGATGGAATTGAACTATATTTAGAAAGCAACATTTGCAAGAATTGGAGGTTTGAACATAGAAAAAGAAAAAACAAGAATTTAGATTTCTACCTGGTGACTACATACTGATATTACCTGGGACCACTGCAAATGCAAGAGAAGCAGACTAAGCAGGAGTGGGGTAATAATAGTGAGTACTTTTTGAAACATACAGATAAACTAAGTTGTTCTCACCTATGGAATTTAAAATGTTAGGTTTAATAGATGATTTTTAAGTTTGTTCATTTGTAGTAGGAAGGTGCTGGGAGTTAAACCAAGGGCCTTATAAGACCACCTAACTTCAGATGACCACATTATACAAGTTTGAAACTCAAGGGAAAGTTGAAAAATGAAAATATAAATTTGGAAGTTAGCACTTCAACTCATGAGAATGAATGTATCTTTTAAAAAGAAAAGAAACAAGAGAAATATGACAAGAGTAGAATCCTACGACACTGTGAAACACAGAGCAGAAGCAGTGTCCACAAAGACCAAACCAGGCAAAGGGCAAACACGCTGTAAAAGACAACAGGCTCAAGAGTTAAAGGTGAAAATAATCAACAAAGTAAAAGGCAGGAGATCTGTCTGATAAAAGATACAGATTCAGGGCAGGATAAGTGGTTAGTAAATTGATAAAAAAAAAAGTGCAGAAATAGAGACAAGTATTGAAATAGGAAAAAAATGAGAGAGAGAGAGAGAGAGAGAGAGAGAGAGAGAGAGAGAAGGGGGGCTTATTTTCTTTTCAGTCCTCATTTCTCTACTCTTAAATCCTCTTTTCCTTTTTTCTTTATTTCCTTTGGAGACTAAGAATTAAAACCAGGGCCTTGTTACTGACTTACATCCATGCCTCTTACTTTTCATTTTGAGAAGGTCCTGCTATGCCACTAAATTGCCTTGGTTGAATTTGAATTTCTGATTCTTCTGACTCAGCCTTCTGAAGGCTGAGAAGACAGGTCTGTGCCACCACGCTTGGTTCTAATCCTCTTTTCTTTTTTTTATTTTTTTGTCTTTTTCTTTTTTATCGGTACTGGGGATCGAACTCACGACTGCCTGCTTGCAAGGCAGGCGCTTATGCCGCTAAGCTAAATCCCCAGACCCTAATCCTCTTTTCTTAGAAAGTATTTTTTCTAGGTTTATTGTCAGCTATATTAGTTAACTAAGAAAAACTTTAAACTTATATTAAGTAATCTATTTTCAAGGTCTTTCTTGTTAATACTAAGAGGAGATATCCTTTACCATAATAGAATAATAAAAATTAGTGACTTGGGAATGGAGAAACAAGTAAAACAAACTTAAAAATTATAGTCTTCAAAATGCCATTAAGTCACACTGATATTTATACTGTGGCTCTTGCTTTAGCAAAATAAGTGAGTTTTTATTCAAAATTTTTATAAATCTGAAACAGCAATCTCTAAAATATAAACATATACTATATTCCACCCAAAATAAAGCTGAACTACTACTATTAACCACACCTTTTGAAACTAGGAAATACTGCGAATGGGGGAAGAGACCTGTTTCTGCTGCATAAACAATGCCTTCAAATTATTACAGAAAATCATTATGAGTATTAAATATTTCAATATTACAGAACATTAATGTATAGAATTTTTAATGGAAAATTTCAGGTCCTCCTCTTTTTCTATAGCTTTATCATTTCTAAAAAAATTACTCATACAATAGCTTCTATATTTGAGAATATATATGTATTGTATTTTGTCATTGGACAATTAAGAATGTGCAAATTTTCTCAAGTGTAAAATTTGTACATTGATGACAGACTAGAACTCCTATGTATATGTCTCTACTTCATGCCATATAATTTTTAAAATACCAAGACTGTGTCTAATCATCAGAGATAATGTTACACAGCAGATAGCAAGCATTTTAAATGACTATCATTTGCCAAGGCTGAATTAGGCATTATTCTTTCAATCTCTGTATCTGCACTAAGTAGGTCATTACTATACCATCTTATATATGAGCAAGCTAGGGCAGCCTAACACCATATAGCTAGTAAATATGCAATTAAATTACTTTACTACTCTTAGGAATCACTATCAGAATTCTCACTAGGGATAAATTTGTTGCATTTTTATAGCATAAAATTTTAATAAAGGTAATAAAATAGTATACACATAGCGATGAGATATAGGGTATCACAGTCATTCCATGAATATAACCTCTCCTGGTACACTGTAATCATTTTAAAGCATAAATTCTTAAGTTAATTGCATATTTTTGACTTTCAAAATCTACTTCATGCAAAAAGAAATTGAGTATTTATTAAAAATGTAAATAAATAGTAAGATTTGACTCAGCAAAATGTGAGTGGTAAAATATGAAATAAAGTATAAAGAGAATACTGTGTGACCATGTTAACAGAGAAGAACTTAATCATAACTCAAGCAATACGAACTTGAAAAGTGATAGATATGATTAAATCAAAATTAAGAAGTTCAGTCATGAAAAGATACTGTAATATCTATTCTTCCAGGTTGTCACAAAGTCCTAAACTGTCCCTATCAATAATACATAAATAATTTTTAAGATATTTTCCAGCAAAAATAAAAAAGACAAGAAGCTCAACACAAAACATAAAGGGTTAAAAATAGGCATTAAATTTCCATAAGGAAAAATAAAATTTTTATCAGAAGTCAGAGAAATAAAAATTTAGACAGAGATTTTATTCAATATACATCGGGTAACCAGAAATTAGAAATTACTGCACCAATTCTTATAAATTATGATGCAACAAATCTACTCTTTGGTACAGAAAACATATAAACTCACAGAAGTTCATAAGGGAGCACTATTTTTTGTTAGATTCAATTTAATAAAATACAGCAAATACAAACCATTAATTAACTATCACACTTTAGTGGGAGGAAATGAGTCAGATACACAAGCTACAATAAGGATAGATATTTACAATAGAGCTATCTGAGAGTGGTGGCATATTCTTATAATCCACGCACTGGGAGGATAAGGCAGGAAGAATGAAAATGTGAACCTAGCCTAGGCAATGTAGCACCTTAGCAGACCCTTAACTCTGTAAATAAAATTGAAAACAATTGCGTTATTTTAAACACCTTTTATAATTCAGTCTTCACCTGGTTTCATCTTCATATAAACAATGATAGATGGAGAGACAAAAACACAGAGATAGAGACAGAGACAGAGACAGAGACAGAGACAGGAGAGAAGTGAGAGTAGTAGGAGGCAAAGTAGTAAGAAGAAACAACAGGAAAAGGAAGAAAGAAGAAACTGGTAGGTTTTTCTTTAAAAATAAAGATAACTACAAAATTTTTTAGGCAATTAAAAGTCTACAGATAGTGTCCCAGAATTCTAGAGTAAAGACTAAGTGACACTGTGTTAAATATATGGAGGAAGAAATTTGGCAATAAGACATTCCTGAAAATATGTTTTAAAAACACCCTACTTAAGTTTCACTGAACTTTGCTACAAACAATATCAAATATGGGATTCTTTTGTACTATAGTTTAAATTTTTAAAATTCACTTGTGTCTGCATGTACATTCATTATCAAGATGCAGAAAAGGTCATTTTTTTTCTTTGTTTGTTTTTTGTGGTTTTGAGGAGAGGGCAAAGGGTGTACCAGGAATCAAACCCAGGGCCTCACACTTGCCAAGCAGGTGCTGTGCCCCTGAGCTACATCCCTGGGCCCAGAAAGGGTCATTTCTTAGAATGTTATTAATGCCTATAATATTTACCCACAGAGAACTTTTTCCCCTTGGGCTTTATAGAAAAAAAGAATAATTGTTATTAGAAATAAAACTATAAAAAGTCTTTTAAAACATATAAAGGCGGGCTATTATAAGTTAAATAATTATTAAATTTAATATTGTTATAAAATCTAAAATTTGTACATATATAACTGTTTTTAGTAATAATCTATTAATCAGCAGTTGAGTAATACAAATGTACTGTTACATATTATATGATAAAAATGAATAAAAGATTCAAGAAGCAAAAACAGAATGCAATCAAACTACTTAACACTAATTTCTCATTTTTTACCCTTAGTAATAGAGAAACTATCAAAAATCAAAATGAATTTTGAATTCATCACCTATCTTTATTAGGCAGATTCAAATAAAGACTCACCAGGACAGAATATATGTGTAGACAGCGATAAACAGGAGAGAAATCCACCAAATCTTGGGCTCCAGGTACCTGAAAGCACAAAATTATCACAAAAAAAATTTTAAATAAGACTATAAAAAACAATGACATTCATTTTTACTGTAAATGCGTTTTTCTTTAAGGCCAGGTCTAGCTTCTAGATGGAAAATACAAAACAAAAGGCCACTATGCCCCCCAAAACCTAGTTCTGTTACTGTAGGCATGTTAGTGATAAGCTGTGAAGATATATTCCATGGCCCAGACAAGCTCACTACCACAGAGAGGAGAAGGTAGACAAATGGCACTGGTCCTTTATCTGCCTATAGAGATACATCTTGGGCCATGGAGTGATAAAAAGAAAATACAAAGAATTATGTTCTACTTCTAACATATATGTTATATTACATTTAAAAAACTAAGTTTCAGTGGCCTAAAACAAAATTCCCTACTCAAGATGAATTAAGTGACCTGCTAGTCATCTTCTGAAGAGCGTAAGAATTAGAGAATACTTAAATAACCATGTAATCAAAATACAGAAATACATTGGAAAGAAGGGACATTTCATGTAAAAACTAAAATAATGAATAGAAAAATCAAATCTAGAATTAAAACCAGAGATTGTAATATAAATAAAGGATGCTGATTAAACTTAGACATAAAGGGAAAGTAAAACAAAAATCACACCAGGTAGAGAACTGGAATCAAGTTGCAGCACTAAAACTAATTTGTTATGTGACCTGACAATAACTAAGTCACAATTTACTTCGGCTTAAATTTTCTTAAGGCGATTGATAGTTGAAGTTCGTCGAGTCAACAAAAACAAAAGGTTACATAGAAAATACATGTTAAACAAACAATATGGAACAAAATAGGAAAAGAAAAACATTCATAAAAAATAAAGATCTAGCAGAAGTTTTTACTGTAATGCTGGAAGCTATATGGTTTATCTGAATATAAGCAGCAGGCAAGTCTAAATTCAGTGAGGCTGATTCATGATTTCAAAGTCAGTCAGCTTTTTTTATTTCATACAGTAAACCTCCTGTCTTCTTGGAGACATGCCTTCTCTAATCAAGATGCTTTCTTATTGAAATCTATTCATTCAACCATACAACGCTTACTTCCTTTCCCTCAGAAAACCATTACGGCTCAGTAAGTATTGCTTCAAATTTATTCACTATTGTGCTCCTCTGCTTCACTATATAAAGGCAAAGATGAATTTCTATATTTAAGTACTTTATCATGTTATACACTCTATAAGTGAGCAAAACAAACCTTTATGTGAATCTAAAGATTGCTAAAAGTCCTTTCCCATGCCCCAAGAATAACTGTATTTAAAAGGAATCAATCAGTAATCATTTAGGTAAGATTATTTGAAATGATCACAAGGCTGAAACTCCTTTGACTGCAAAGTTGAAATCTGCAGGAAGTTTATCTTACCAAATAAACCACAGCCTATTTTTTATCTTGCCAAAAAACCCAGGGAATTTCTTTTAACTTGCCAGAAAACCAGAGGCAACAGCTAAGTAAACTCAATCTCAAAAACAATAGAAACACATTTAAAAATTATACTCCAGATAGTATTTAAATAACAGTTAACTATATATGATATGAAAAAAGATAAGAGGAAATAAGTGATATTTTAAAAGTTTGAACTATATAGGAAACAGTTTTTTCTTTTATTTAGAATTAGCCTTTATATGTATTATAAATACATATTTATAAAAAGTTAAACTTTTTGCCTAATTTTGATTAACAAATTCAATTATATTTTGTAGTATATGTTTTTCTTCATATGGTTTATTTTGTTTTACTTTGTCTCATAGCCATGGTTTCACTCAAAAGGAAAACTCTTATAGCCATTGCTGACAGCCTTGGTCTTTTCCCATAGCAGACCTACCCTCACTGAACGAACACCCCATACTAAGGGACAGGTCCCGAAAAATCTGTGACAAATAAGTTAACAAACCCCTTAACAAGGAAAGATGTTTGGTTAATAATGGGCTGGGACTGGTTTATCCCAGAAAACTTTAAAAAGAGAAAGAAATATGTAGATGGGTAACAAAGGTGTTTTCCACATTACCAACAAATATTTACAATCAAATTTATTTTTGGTGAGGCTGTTTGACATTACTGTATCAGCTTCAAACTCTTTATAAAGGGTTCTTATGTGTAAGTGTTGGTTCTACTATGTCTTATCCTCTACAACTTTTATCTAGTTAGTTCTCCAAGTATAAGACTCCCTGATTTGAAAGCTGTACAAAAAGATCAAGGCAAACACTGAAAAAGCAAAATGGAGTGTCAGCTCGCAATCTTTGCCCCTATCCCCAAACAGGCGAATATTTAGAAATCATTTTCCTTCATGCTCCCCTCTGTGAGAAACACTAGGAATGAGCGCTGTGAGGAACCAAGAAGAATACTGTGAGGATAAAGGTATGTAAAGTATGTACTGACTCATGTTGCTTTGAGCTAGATGTGTTTTCTCTACTTTACTAATGAAAAAGAATCACTTACATCTACGGAAAGGCAAAAAGAGAAGAGCAACACACTGTACGTGATGGAATCCTACATGAATGCAAGAGTAAAAATGCATTTTCCAAAATCTAAACAAATGGAAGCAGGGAAGAATACTAGAACAAAAGGCACTTTTTCCAGACTCATAATCAAAACAATAGGTCAGTTTAAAAACCCACATTTTACTCTCTATTTAAAACATTAACTTTCTATCCAAGCTTTCTATCCTCCTTCTCCTCTTTGGCCCTCTCTTTCCCTTCAAGTTGCAAAGAATGATTAAAGCAGGTTTAGGTTTCAATAGGGAGGGGTCCAAGGACACTTTCCTAAGCTAACAATGACTGTCTCTAATGGTTTCTGTCTCCTAACAAAAGCCATGACTCCTTCTTTATCAGCCTCATCTAATTTTTCCTTTCCAAAGTAAATAACACAGCCTTTGCATTTTACACATGTCCAAATTTGACAAATCATTATCGACTGAGACTATAGCTGATAAGAGATAACTTTGTGGTAGGACATTGTCATTTCCTCTCATAGGGCTTTCTTTCTGAGAGACAGAAACATGATTAAAATAGTTAAACATTTCCTCTGCCTGGCAGTCAGGAACTCAAGATACTGGAGTCTGTATTTTTCTAGTTCAAATAGATCTATGAATACACCAACAATCACTATAAACAGTACATTTAAGATAACCCTGCTTTTTTAACTAGTTGTTTTCCTTCTAAGAGATCACATGAAATAATTTCATCACCAAGGACAGCAGCTGCCTAATTCCCTTAATAGTCTGAGTGAAGTGCATTGGTGCCTTTTGCCAGCTCAAACCACTAGGTTTTTAGGAGGATAGAATGGTAATATTTTAGATTCCACACCTAGGATCTGTGCCTCAGAACATATTCTATCATACCGATTAAGTGAACATGTGTATTTTTAGATAAATAATAAGTTATTAAAGAAGTTGGGGTGACTGAATCAGAGTATTCAGGAGTACATATCATGGAGGCAAGTAGTACATTCTTCTACAATTTTATATTTGCATATTCATCACAAATCTTATGCCCATTAAATAACAATTTATATGATGATCTACTTCAATACAATGATTGCTATATCTGTTTGATAAATATTAACAGCTTCTGTCAAAGCGATACTTCCTAATTTTTGTCTGTGGAATATTGGCTACACCAGCTTTCACATGTTACTATATAGATGACCAAAAAGAGTCTGGAGACAGGAAGATACTAAGTAAGAAAAGCATATTTATGGATATGATTGATAAAAGAACAAAATACACAGATTCAAAATAGGCATGGGAATATTAGGTGATCAGCAAAAAAGAATTACAAACATTTCTGATTGTGAAAATTCTTACAAAATAACACATCAGAATCTAACTTCAATGGTAGAAGGGTAGAATTCATTTGGACATAAGCTTTTATGGAGCTAGACTAAACACCATAGCCATACCAACAAACTAGAAAGCCTGTAATTCTAAATAACTAGAATTAGCGAAAGTGTGAAGATTTTCTAAGCCTTGCAGCATTTAATAATACACTTGCCAGACCTTTATCCTAAAAAGTACAAAATTTTCTATAGAGCTTCTCACATATTAGGATCCTTGCTGAGAAATATCTAAAGAAAATATCACTTAATTTACTCAAGCCTTTGTAATAAGCACAAAAAAAAAAAAAAAACAGACAAATCACCAGTTCTGCTTACTGAGCAATAAAAAAAAAGTATAAATAAATAAATAAATAGCAAGCTGGGGATACAGCTCAACAGCACAGCACTTGCCTGGCAAGCACAAGATAGTGAGTTCAATCCTCAGTACAAAAAAGAAACAAAAAACTATAACCAAATGCACAGGATAGTCCCTCTGGATTTCTCTGCTTAAAGCCAAACACCATTAACAAAAAAATAAATCAGTCATTTTTTAAGCAGAACCCACTATATGCTAAGTCACTATAATATGTGAGACCAAAAAAAAAAAGGACATTTAGCAATAAATATGATATTAAATATAAAGGCTGGGGATGTAGCTTAGTGGTAGAGCATTACCTAACATATATACAGAAAAACGTAAGGGGGGCAAAAGTAGGCAGAAAAAAGCTTACTAGTATTGGTAAAAAAAAAAAAAAAAAAAAAAAAAGTAATATTCCTAATAGTAACAGAATTTACAATAAGATTTACAAAAACTGAAGAATTAAAAGACTTCAATTCATGAGTGTGTGAGTGTGTGTGTGTGTGTGTGTGTGTGTATTCCCACAATTATGAGGTAATTTAACTTTATCAACAGTATCAAGGATACAAATTATAACAATACAGAGGGTTGGGAATATAGCTCAGCGGCACAGTGCCTACCTAGCAAGTACAAGGTCCTAAGTTTGATTCCTGGTACAAAAAACAAATAAACAAACAAAAACTGTACAAAGATAACATTTCTCCTCTATGAGACTTGCAAATATTTAAAAGCTTAAAATGTAGTCTATTAAAGGGTAAAGGAAAAAGCACCTCACACATTGGGAGGGTGGGAATGAGCTGTAGAAAATAACATATAGAAGGAAATTAGACTTTATCAAATTTATACAAGTATTTATCCTTTGACCTAATAATCTTGCCTTTAGAAAACTATTCTGAGAAAACATCTGCAACTATATGGAAAAATATTCTCAGGTTTGTCTTTTTATTGAGTAAGTATTAAGGCATTTTATACATCATAAAATTCAATTTCTAGGGAACAATTTTTTAAGTTTGATAATAAGCTAGTTTTCATTAAGAATACAAGTGAAATACTCAAAGCCTACAGAGGTTAATGAGTATCAGGAATAAATAAAGCAGGCCAGCATTTTAAGTTGTATTCTTTGTATATTGTTATACTTTGTATATGAAATATCTAGGACTACTACTCATTTTTACAAAGCACTGTGTTCTCTATAATATAAGCCAAGAATGGCAGTGTATATCTGTAATCCCAGCAATCTGGGAGGCTGAGACAAGAGAATTTCAAATTGACACCTAACTTGGTCAACTGAGAGATACTCTGACTCAAAAAAAAAAAAAAAAAAAGAAAAGAAAAGAAAATCTGGTGATGCAGCTCAGTATAAAGGAGCTGGGTTCAACAACCAATACTGAAAAAATTACATATTAGTGTTCTACTGTACAAATACAGCTGCTGGTATGTAGAAACAGCAGGGATTTGTGGCTTAGTGAGGTATACCATACCATTGGTAGCAATCTTGCTATTCAAGGCCAGTCCAATACTAAAACTAAGAAGCTAAGAAATTAAGTTAGAAAACCAGATTTTCAATTTCTATGACATTTTATTTTTAAGACTGGATCTTGCTTCAGGCTGGTCTTGAACTTACTATGTAGCCCAGGCTTGAGACAAACTTACGAATCTCCTACCTTAGGGTCCTAAGGGAGGGGATTATATGTGTGTATAACCACACCTGGATTTTATTGGCCTTTAAGAGTTTATTTGGACTGTAAATGTCTCCTCAAAGCACATATGCTAAAGCTTTGGTCACCAGCCTGTGGGCTTAAGAAGATAGCAAAACTCTTAGGAGGTAAGAGCCAGCAGTGTTAGTTTACTGAAAGTGGATCATTAAAGGTGATATTGTGACTCTGGATCCTTTCTCTGTCTTCTGCCTTACAGCACATTAAAGTTCAAAAAGTTAAGTTTATCGAGGGGTAAATTAAAGAATTTCATGAATTTCTGAAATTTCATGCAGAATTTTTTCTGAGTGAATATACAACAGATACATTTTACTAAAGAAAGATTTCATATATTTTCATCAAACTCTAAAGTAATACATGACTCCAAAATAGGTTAAGAACACTGCCATATAGGATTTTATGTCACAGTTACCATCTTCATAGATTATAAGTCAGACTACTCCAAAAACTATGCTGCTCTAACTGAGGACTGTTGAAGAATGACAAGAATGAAGGTCAGAACGTCACAGTGGGTCACGAAAGACCTTATCTGAAGAATTTATTCACACCATGCAAGAACTATGCCAAGAAACCAGTTTGGAGACATCTAAATAAATAATGCTCTACATGAGGTTCAAGATTAAGAATGTGCACTTGAAGAAGATTCAAACTGAGAAGTAAATAAATACAAGGTAGGATTTTTTTTAAAGATGGGATGCCATTAGATGACAGTGAAATGTTGAATTCTTGTTGCAAAAGCTTAATCAGCAAGTCCCTAATACAAATTGCTTGATTAGGGATATGGGATAATTTTAAAATATTAACTACTAAATACATTCTTATAATACAATTCCAGTTTGATGGGGGAGGGAGGTTAGACAGCATCTTGTATTCAGTTCAGGGTGGCCTTGAACTCATTATGTATCCCAGGTTGGCCTCAAACTTGAGACAACTCTCCTGCCTCAGCCTCCCAAAAGCTAGAATTACAGGTGTGCATCATCATGCATGGCTTGATTTTTTTTTAACCTAAAGAAATATAAGAATAGCCACACTGACAATAGTAATATACAACAGTAATCAACAAGGAAGAGCAATGAAAATAAGACAAAAAGGAACATTCATTAATCACGTTTAATGAAACAGACACCTTTACTATCTTTACTTAGCAGATGAAGATGACACCTAAAATTAGAAAGCTATAGAGTGACAAGTTCTTGAGCATAGGTTTTGAACTGAGAACACAACAGAAAAGATAGTATAAGGGCCAAGGATGAAGAAGTAACAGTGAAATCTGTTTTTATCTGGCCATACCTTAAAGCCACATCTTTTATTGGTCTCCAGTGACTGTTCAAGTTTCTGCAGAGCTCCCTTAGACTTTTGGTCTCTGGGTCAAGGAACTCTAGTCTTCCTTTTAGGTTCTAGTCAGTACAGAATCAAAGACTTTAGCAGATTGCAAACACTTGCAACCTTCTAAAAAATGTAAGAGTATATTTAAAATCTAAATTCTTTCAAAAGAATCAAAATGCAAATTATCTTCACATATCTTCAGTTTCATTAAATTAGGATTCATTTGGATCCAAGATATTTAACAAGCAGTTCACAGAAAATTATTATATTAAAAAACTCACATCTCAAATGTACTACATTTAAAAATGGTCTCACTTCCCCAGTTCATATATCAGTTACCTCTTCATCTTCCTCATCTTCAACATCCAGAATTCCTGAATCCTGTTCAGACTTGGGGCTAGTGCTTTCCATCTCTGTATCAAAGATCGTATATGCATCTTTCTTAGATTTTCTCTTGCTACCTATTCTGGGCTGTTGCAAGACGATATTATCCAGGTTTCGTTGTTGCTGAGCCTAGGACAAATAAACACATACATAGACACACCAAAAAAGAAACAAAATAAATAAAACAATTAAGTTGTCAGAGAACTTTTAACATTCATCAAATGAGTATCTCAAATATTCAACAAAACTCCTTAATATGCACTTGCTGTTTGCTGTATATACATATGTATTATGTATGTATGTATGTGTGTATATATGTATGTATGTATGTGTTTTAGGGAGACAGAGTATTGCTGGCTGGCCTTGAACTCACTATGTAATCCAAACTGCCCTAGAACTTGTGGCAATCCTGCTTCTGCCTTCCCAGTGGAGATTACAGTTATGCGCCACCCCAACTGGCAAAATATAAGCTTTTAGTCCCAGAAACATCCTAACATATATACTTTAACCTCAAAGTTTTCCCACTTTAATACACTTTCCAAGTTAAAACATACTTGTAAGATTTTTCAAATATATCTGCTTAATCACCACAAAATGAAATGTATCCATTTGCAACTAAGTAACTAAAACTAGTGCAAAAGCCTAATATTTAACTCTTACAAGAAAATAACATATTGAAACCATACTACTTGAAGGAGAAGAGGAGACACTTGGAGTTAATTTTGATAAATTAAAGTTTAGGACACATAAAAACAGTAATGTAGATATATCAAACTGATAAAATGTGATCAAGAGGATCAACTATCTTAAGAGACTTTTGAAGCCCTATAATGTTCTCATTCATTAGTTGGAATGGTTTGATTCTGAGTTGTTTGATTTTATTGTCTGTGATGGTATGAACAGCTATTTTGAAGAAAACAAGACATTATAATAGCAACTGCTGATTTAATATCATCTATTATCATGAAGTCCCACCAAGCTTTTATTATTCTGTCTCCATCAGTTTTATAATGTTGTATCTTATTGGATTTTATTACATGTGATAGTATAAACAAAAATTTTTATGGACAAGGAGATAATATAGTAACCACTGTTCATTTTCTGTTAGTTGGTTCTGAATACCCTGTAATACTTTCATTCTCTGGAATGGTTTTATAATGTTTTGTTATGTTTGATACTATAGTGTATGAAGGTATACTCAAATATTTCAAGGAAAGAGACACTGTGGTAGCTACTGTTAGGTCGGGTTGTCTTGTGGTGAAACACTATGTTGCTTAAATTGTTCTGTTCTGTCCTGTTTTGTTATGTCCTCTTTTATCTTAATCTTTTTTTTAATAAAAAAGAGAGACTTCTCCCTGTAGTATAATTAGAACTAACAGTTTAAACAAGAGCTTATGACTGTCACTTATGGGAAAAAGAAATAAAGAGTTTCTTCTTTTGAACTTATACAGGACAGGAAGTATGACTGCTTGGCCTAACAAAATTGACTGAAATTATGCTATGTTTTCAACAGACAAAAAGAGGTGTTACTATTCAAAATCAACAACAGAAGTGTTTAACCACACATTTCAGCTGGAAATGACTTTAGTCACCACTCAGAAACCTGAAGTAAAGACAAAGGATTTTTTTCAAAGTCACAACACGAGTGAGAAGCAATTCCAAAGCTTAGAGTATGATTTCGTAAATCCCAGATCAGTCCACTAACCAACAGTCCCTCCTAAAACCATGACAAAACACTTTCCAAACTAAGGTTCTATGGCCAAATCAATGGAAAAAACCGCATACCATATAGCTTTGTTGTAGATATACAATATATATTAACACAAAATAAAAGCTGATTGTAGTACTATTTTAAAGAAATTTATTTAATTTGGTTAAATCCAGCATATTCCAAAGTATTTCCCAATGGAACTTCTCCCCTCTGCTGAATCTCCTTATCTGTCTCTGTCTCTCTGTTTCTCTCTCTCTCTTGCTCTCTCTTCTCTCTCACACACATGCCAAGAAACAAAACTTGAACATATTTCCTATCAAAATATATTTCCTTAATCAATATATATTATTCCTCCTCAGTAACAAGTAGGAATTTGCTCAAAAGAAAAATCAGGGTCTTTAAATTTTTACAATGAGACTGAGGAATTCAAGATAAATATTAAATTCAAGAAGTCAGTTCAGGCACTAGTCAAATGCAACAATTTATTAGGACACAGAGAAACTTAAAACTATGCAAAGAAGTTTCTGCCAAGAAAATGAAAAGAATCTGCATTCCAGAGATTTGAATCAATGGACAAACTTGTTTCTCAGCACATTATCCATTGATATTTTGACTTAACTCATATAAAATACATGACCTCAGTAACAAACACAAAAGAAACTACTCTAAAACATTAAATTCAGGGTTGTATATTAAGACACATATACTATCCAAGTACTGTATTATACTTGAGGTCCCAAATTAAATAGCATACTCTTTAATAATATTAACCTCAAAGGTAAGATGTTCTTCCCCACCTATATCTAATGCCAACCCGAGCAAAATCAAGAATTCTAGACAGTATAAGGGAAGAGCAAACTTCAAAAGCTTTCATATTTCAAAAGCAAACACTCAACTAAAGAGTGATCACTTACTCCTTAAGCTCTACCTTCTTTTAGTAGCCAGCCTACATTACACAACCAAACCCTTACATAAGTAGGTCTTTTCTTCCTAAACCCAAGTCTATTATTTTTCTTTCACAATCAATAAAATACTGACAGTGTATCAAAAGCAACCAAGAGGAACCATACTGCATACTGTTGTTTAAACTTCAAATGATAAAAATCTAAAAAGTATTCCATGGAAGTAATTTCAGATTTGCTATGATTTTTTTTTTCTTTTTTCAATTGACATCTGGTGTTCCTATAAATTTAGAAGACTGAAAAATAGTTTGGGCTAAATCTGCAAATTGACCTACTGAGTACTTTGCTAGAAATGAAAGTATTTCAAGCTGTATTCTAAAGATCTGTCAGAGTCTGAAGTCTCTGTCAGAACTATCAAGAGTTCCCCAACTGTAAAAGAGTACTCAGAGAAGATAAAGTAGAAACTAGCCAACTTGGAAATATCGAAGTTCAGATAGAACAATAAAATAAACACTTTGATATTATCATTATGAATATAAATGAAATTACTATCTATTGAAAAATGTGTCTTGTGAGATTTGTAGGAAGTGGCAAAGGTTAAATGTAAATATATAAATGCACATAGCATAGGTTAAAATGAAAAAGTGACATTACAATGCATGACAAATACCTAATAAAATCCCTTCAGAGGCCTTTTTAACATGCTCTTCAGTTTCCCTTGGACCACATATTCCCTGCCTTACAGACAATGCTCAAAATAATGTGCCACAGAAGCAGGTGATTTCTGCTGTCTGTGTTGGATAGAGTGAGAAGAGTACAAAACCAAAAAGGAACACAAGGACATTAGGAAGCATTTCTTTAATATTTTCTTTGTTGTATGTTGTATTTGTACACGATTTTCATGTTTTACCACCTTTTCTTTGTCTTTCATATTTATTATTCTGATTTCCTCATATTTAGAAATTGCATAACAGTTCTCTCAGAGTTCTCCCTCTTGTCTGACACTTTCTCCTCTCCAGATATACACTAACATATCTCACATCTCCTATTATTATTGTATTTTCTACTATCCCCATAATGACAAAATATCCAAATGGAAATAATTCCCTTCTTACTACAATGCCCCTGCCAATTATAGCCAATGGATTTATCATGTAAATCAGGCATGAGAAAAACTGTATGGTTGGGAAGAAAGAATTAAACAAGCACCAAGTCCATACTCTATAATCTATTGTTTAGATTCTACCATAATGAAAGCTGAACTAATTTTCCAATGTAGTTATCAATATTCCCCAACGAATATTCCACTTGGATCAGACTCTACCTACTAATCCTACCTCTATATCTTATGCCATTTCTCTATCTGATGACTTCCTTCTGTCTAAAACCAGTGTTTCCTCCAAAACTCAATGAAAACTCTTTCTTTATGAAGCCTATTCTTACTGTCTAGCTCATATGGTGTGTTTCTAAGTACCATCATTTTCATTCAAATAAGTACTGAATATATCTGCTTGGTATCAGGCATTATGAGTACATAAGAAATACTAATTAGGCATGGTGGGCATGCCTCTAATCCCAGCATTCTGAGAGGCTGAAGCAGAAGGATTGCAAGCAAGAAAATATCTCAAAATAAAAATTTAACAACAAAATAGGAAGATGTTGGGATGTAGCTCAGCATAAAGGTCTTGGGTTCACTACCCAGAGTGATCTATGAACTTTGTACATACTATTACTGGAAGCAAATAGGCAAATAACTACTGTAATTCAATGTGATGAATATAAAAACGCAAATAAATAAAGAGGACAGTGACTGCATAAAGGAGGAAAGTAGTCAGATCTGCTTGGAGTGGTTTCAGGAAAGACTTCACAGAGGAAATGATACCAAATGGAATCCTTAAAAGACAAATATAAGCTGGGCATGTTGGCATATGCCTATAATCCCATCAGTTGAGAGGCTGAAGCAAGTTGCCATGAGCTGGAGGCCAGCCTACATTACACAGTGAGTTCAAGGGCAGCCTGAACGGCAAAGTGAGACCTTGTCACAAAAAAAAGTCCAAACAAAGATAAATAGAAAAGGTAACCATTGAAAAACAAATAAACAGCATGATAAAGGACCACATGTGAAAACATATTATCCACCAAGTAATGGTAAGTAACTTTGTGCAATTACAATAGAGCAAAAGGTTATAAAGAATTAACAAAGACACAAAGTTAAAGGTGCATAAAAAGCAATTTCAATGTTAGCTAGAAAAGAATGGAGAAAAACTGAAAATTTATGAAGAAAAACAAGATCAGCATTAGAACTCAGAAAAATTCTCTAGGTTCAGAAGAGTGATCAACTGGAAGAAAATGACAACTGGAAGCAGGAAAGTCTATATAGGACATTGCAAGAGTCTAAATAACAATTACAAGGGTTTGAATTAAGGGAGCAGTAGACATGCAAGTGGAAAAACTATAATTTATTGATTTATATGTTTTACAGGGAAAAAAGGAAGGAAGAAAGAATAATTCCAAGT